CACTGAGTTTTAACAAATATTTAACAGGAAGTAGAATGACAATCAGTGGCGCCGTGGGACCCATGTTTTTTTTTGGGGGGGGGGGCAAGGGCAGTACTTTTCCGACAAACCGAAAAATTTTTCCGACAAACCAAAAAGTTTTCCAGACGACAACATTTTAAATCTTCATCCCCCCGTCGATTTTCCGACAATTTTCCGACAATTTCCGGCAGCATTGGCAATTTTCCGACGGGTGTCAACAATAGGGGAGGGCCATGTCCCCCCCTGCCACCCCACCCCCCCCGGCCACGGCGCCACTGATGACAATCACTAGAATGACGTTTTCCACTGGGCGAATTTGTTCGCGCGAAGCGACAAGTAAAAGAGTAGGAACTGATCCAACTTTTTCGCGGCGAATTTTTTCGCTGATTAATGTGATTACATTGCCGAAATTTGGTTTTCGTTTCGCGCGAACAAATTCGCCCCAAAACAGGCTTAAATAATAAATCGATACCTTCTCTTGTTTCGTGATGTAAATCACGTTTTCCAAGCACACGAAATCACTTAAGCCCTTAAATCTTCAGTTACAACGCCATAACTTACAAGTAAAATTCCTATAAAATTCCATCAGTAAAATTTATGACTTATATATATGGTTACCACTTTTATACCATCAGGAATGACTACAAATTTAAAAAAATATGAAATATGTTTCCTGACGATGACTGAATTTTAGTCGAAAGCTACAATATTAAAATGTTTATTTTCGAAGTTACCGTTGTTTTATATTTTATTAAAATACTCAGTGGTTCCCGTAATTTTTACCGATTACGTATGACGTCATTGACGTACGTCGACGAATGTTTTCACGATTTCATGTTTGTCAACAGAGCCCCCCCCCCCGGTAAATTTAGTTCTACAGCACTGCTGCAAAGCCTTGCAAAGTCTCTATTGCACTATTCGTACTATTCGTCGCCTATTCGTGGACTATTCGTACTATTCGTCGACTATTCGCGGACTATTCGTACTATTCGTCGACTATTCGCGGACTATTCGTACTATTCGTCGACTATTCGCGGACTATTCGCACTATTCGTCGACTATTCGCGGACTATTCGTACTATTCGTCGACTATTCGCACTATTCGCTTCACTATTCTAGTTTTATCAATTGCCCATGAGCTAGTGCCTGACACTCTTTATTTTGATGTAACATCATGTTTAAAAATATTCTGTGATAAAATGTAAATTTTAGCCAATATTTTGAATTTTTAATTGCTAATTAGTAGGAAAATATGCCAGAAATTACTCATAATAAAAAATATTGACATTTGAAGAGTGTCAGGCACTAGCTAAAGGTATATACAATAAGTATACCAAGTATCAACCTTCTACTTCAAATATTAAAAAAGTTATGATGTCACAAAGATTACTCGTGATTAGAAAATCACCAAATAAGGAAAATGTAATGTTAAAGTTTCCTTTCATGTTGGTTTGTCTCGAAAAGGTTCAGAAGCTACCTGCTTCGTATGTTATGCCTTCATTTGCCTCAGTTGAGTCTATATAGCTCTTCCTGAGGTGCCTCAATGTTTTTCTTCTGATCTTGACATTATCTTTGCACTTTTTGGCCGACAGTTTGATCCGGGTGGTGTCGCAATCTTGGGCGCCTTTACAAGTAAAGACACCCGGAGTAATGTCCAAGTCCTCAAATATTTTCAGGAAGGATATATCTCCATCGTTGAATTTGAGGACGGCCAAATAAGTAGCCAGGGCTACAGTTTCTTGCTCCACATAGGTTGTTTTGGGGCATCTGTCCCAAATCATACCATTCAAACACTCATTAACATTCTGCGTCAAGCCATGCGTACACTTTTGCAACAGGTCAGGCTTACTTAGGTCATCAAATATTGGTTCAATTAATTTTACAATGCACCCTGGAATGCCATTCTTGTGTTTGTAGGACTCTTGATCTCTCTTGTACCCACACCAACTGTCCTCTCCATCAGGGCAGAGATGATGTTGTGGTTTTTCATCAGATGACGCAACATGGTAAAGAGTTGCCTTGATGGCTTTGGCCATTTTGGCAACATCATCCAAATTCTCTCTTACTGCCAGACCATAATAGTTCTGTAAAACGTCTATTTTACCATCTGTTAGCCTTCCTTTACCTGCCAAACCTTTCCCATCACTCAGCTTTGTGCCTTTATAGGTATTCTTCAACCTCCGTAACCTGCTACCGACTCGCTTTTGGACATGTCCGATGCACTCCAATTTCTTTGGCACACACTCATCCCCATAAGGCTTGCTATCAACAATAGTGCTGTATGTGGCAGAATCACCATCCCCTAGCATGTCCTTGTATTTAAGTCCCCGTTCAACATAGGACCGTTCAAAAATCCTCACAGCACCAACCGTTTCCATGCTGTTTGCACTTCCTGTGTGATTGATCTTGCAGTGATGATTTGCCTTCCACTCTTCATATCCCGGCTAATTCACCTTCTTTTGCCATTTTTGACATTGTTGACACTTGTCAGACATTACTTCAACATCAACACATTTCTTGGTGTCCAACGATATAGCAGTCACCACGCCATTGTGCGATGAGTGACCTCTCTTCTGCCAACTGCCATCCAGAGATATACCACATTCTCCTTCATCACTTCCACTCCTCTCTTTGACCTCCATTGCACTAGTGTTCATGCTGTCATTTGCCAATTGTTTGACGATTGGTAAAAGTTTCTTATTTTGAATCTTAGTAAAGTTGCGGCGAGTTGGCGGTGAAGGCATATTCAAAATTTTGGTGAATGTTGTCATGGCAGTGTGGCCTCTACCAATTTCTCTGAAAGCCAGTACTGCTCTAACATTAATTTCAAAGGAATGTCCTTGTTTCTTCGATGTATTGAAACAGTACTTCCACTCACATTCCAAATTTTGACATTCCAAAACAACATAATTGGAAAAGCCATTTTTTTTCTTCATGTCAACATGGGAACTCATGTTGCCACCACATTCAGGGCATTTTAAAATGTCATCGAAAACACCAAATAGAACAGACAAGTCCATAAATATTGTACCTGCAGTCTTCTCTGTGTTAATTTTCTCAGTGGAAGCTCCAAAATTTGCACTTTGGTCACCTATTTTAGCTCCAGAAGGTCCAGAGATCTCATCATTGGGACCGCCATCTTTAAATTTTTTCGCTGCTTTTGAGGGTGGAATTCTGGCCCTTTTTCTTTTTCTATTACGATTATTTCCCATTGATATAATAACACTGAGAGATTGATAGTACTAATCAACCAGAAAATGCTACTTTTCGAATCAATAAGATGTAAAATAACGAAGATTATTGAAGAGAATTGACACGCTGTTGTAAATATTTTTAGACTGCTCACAAAATTACTTTTCATAGCTATGCGACCACCCCTCCCAAATAGACCAATCACAATAAAGCTAGATGAAAGTCCTAAATAACATACATCAAAAGTAGAACTGAAATAGAACTCGTTTTGTGGCAGTATTTCATGCAAATTTGGCTTGAAAACTCGTTGCTAAGGCGTTGCTAAGGAGATTATTTCAAAATAATATCAATTTTTTGCTTTTTTCGCCCGGATAAACGAAATATTTCATAAAATGAGCAATGTTATCATAAACTACAGTAGTTAAAGTACCTTAAAAACATAAAAAATTTTTTTTCAATTTTTCTTTAAAAATCAGTTCTAGAAGGGGTATGACCACCTTAAACGTTTTAAGAAAACAATCCCCATAGGTTCCATAGCCAACAGGAATAGTAGCTGAGTTATTTACTTCCAATGGCAACAACTCACATAGCCTAATTTGTTTTACTGAAGCAGTACTCATTTTGGTTAGTGAGGCATTACCAGTTGCAGCAGTATCCATTGAAACCTTTAACATTAGTAATAGAATTAAATTTCTATGTAAAAATTAATGTAGCCAACAAATAGTAAATCTGGTATTGTACTTTTAATCCCTCTCAATATTTATTTTGGTATAAGTTATTGTGTGGTGGTGAGTAGAATACATGCTTCCAGAAAGTACATCGTCTTGGCTACAGAGCCATGTTTTCATGGTTGAGATGCTAGGGTTTACATCATGTACTTGAAAACGAGATTCTATCGCCTACTCTATAGCCAATGATGTTCTGTACATTCGGGAAGGGTGTATTAAGGTATAACAGTACTAGTGTTGTTTGACATTTTGCCAAAATTGCATGAATGTTGCTAATCCTGGCAAAAACCATGAGGACATGTATATAGTTTGTTTCAATGATTTGGACAATTTTTACACTTATATTAACTATAATGGAATATTATCGACTGATGTTGTTGTTAACACGTTCTACTATAGGGTCCAATATTCTATTTAGTCAAAAATGGTGCCAATTTTCGTATTTTTAAACAAATTTGTACAAAACTGAAAAACACAGAAAAATTAGTGCTTAAAAACACCTTTTGTGCAAAAAAAAGAATGCAAATTTTCTTCCTTTGCCAAAACAACCAAATTTACCTAAAATTAACAATACATTTTATAGACTGTTCTGAAAAGGATCAAATAATGCAAAAGTAGCAAGGCATCTCTGTCTCTGATCAATTTATGGAATCTATATCAATGTTTCGATTTATCGAGACCATGCCAATGTTTCGATTTATCAAGACCATGTGATTGTTTCGATTTATCGAGACCAAGTCAATGTTTCGATTTATCGAGACAATGCCAATGTTTCGATTTATCGAAGACCATGTCAATGTTTCGATTTATCGAGACCATGTCAATGTTTCGATTTATCGAGACTATGTCAATGTTTCGATTTATCGAAGACCATGTCAATGTTTCGATTTATCGAGACCATGTCAATGTTTCGATTTATCGAGACCATGTCAATGTTTCGATTTAGCGAGACCAAGTCAGTGTTTCGATTTATCGAAACCATCTTAGTGGCATCTAACATAACCTAAATCAACACAGTTTAGCAAAAAATAATATTCTATTCAACTTAGCATTATACACATAAATAGAAAATATATAAAGCACAATGTATTTAGCTGAAAACTATTATGCTCAATATCAAAATGATACATATCTAAATAAATTCACAAACAAACTATTAAATAAGACTCACCCCTTAATGAAATATAACCTTATATGCTATTAGATAGAGTAATATAATGAAAGGATAGTAAGTTAGTAGGGCACATTTAAGTTTTGTACTGCAGTGCTCCTCAAAATGTAAGACTGTAAAGCTGGATGAATGTAAAATATCACATTTATTACCATTTAAACTGCAAATGGTAATGTAGATTAGTTGTGCCGAGCTCTGCACTTATTACATTACTCTGTCCAGTACAAGGTGACTTTACAGTGTTCTTTTTCTGTATAAACATAACTAATATGTTCTTCAACAATGAGTTCATCGTCTAGCGTGTAGTTTCAGCATATATTTCCTTTTCCTTATGCAAGTCAAAGGCTACAAGAAATATACAACCTGGCAAACATCTACCCAAGGTTCATTTTTATCAGCCAATTAAAAGACCATTTCTTGCCGATGATTCCTTTACAATAATGAATCTTGAATGAAGATCATCTAGCGTCACCAATGACTGGTTTGTTATATATAGCCCTCTAAATTTGAAAAAGCAAAAGATTGCTCATCAACATAATCCTAAGTAAAATTGATATTATTAATGAATGATAATTATGGGTCAAATTAGACACATTTATAACAGTGCCTTGTATATCCTGGCCTACAGTAGTTGCAGTTAGCTTTTTCTTAATGATGCTATGCCTATTGACAGAACACCGATAATTCTCACAATGCTTTCATTAAAATTACAATGTCCAGTCTTTCATTTCAACAAATCCGGGGTCTGACCAAGTGGTCTAATAGTTTGTGCTTCATTACATGAACAAAATGTAATTTTCTATGCTAATATTATTATGGCTCATTTGAGCAGGCCATACGAATGAGGTTATAATGACCAAGGTGCATATTGATATTTGAAGCTGCATGTAGGGATCGCCCTTCAGTGCCCTCACCCCACTCATCCATTGGCAATGTTTGGATGTGAAAAGCCTATTCTTAGACCATGTACAAACTCCTTCAACATTCATAATTCGATATTTAATAAGTTCAGTTACTTCAATCAAGTGAGATGTCCAAACAAATCCTGTTATATTAAAATATTACACTATCAAAAAGCTGTCAAGCGATGAAAAAATTTTGACTTTGTAAGAAATAAGATCAGTTGCAGAGAGGCCAAAATCCTGTGAAATTGTTAACTCAAGCTTAAGACAACATTTTTCTCATGTATTTTTATATACACGAGTTGTATTAAAATAAGCAAAATAAAATTCCGTTACAATATAGATAGATAGATAGATATTTTATTTTTTCATTATACAGTTACAGTTTTGATAAAATATAAAGATACAATTCATATGGAAGGAAGACTAACAAGCCCGTCAGGGCTTTTCTAGTACTCCACCCTAAAAAATTTAAAAAACAAACTAATATAACAAAGGAGAATAGTGTCAGATAATGTCAGGTTCAAGATGTATGAGGTACACTAATACAATTAACTTTATAAAGTTATAAATTATTTTTATTTACAGTTTTTGTGAGTACAACCAATAATCTTCAGAAGAAAGAAGATATAATTGTAGATTGCACTTAAATATGTATTTACTATCGCTATTTTAATGTATTCCGGCAACATATTCCACACTACTGTGCATCTGTTTTTTGTGGAATACAGTCCATGGTTTGTTTTATTGTAGTGTTTGTGTAATTTCATAGAGCCTCTGGTATTATGGCAATGAATAACATTGCTTTTTTATGCAAAGTGAATCAAATTGAGGTGGTAGTGTATTTTTTACTGCGTCGAATGTGAACAAGCCAACTTGAAAAGCATTTATTTTATTAATATTTAGTATTTCTAGCGTTGAAAAAAGGGTTGAAGATGAGAAAGTATAAGGCAAAAATGATATTATTTTCAGAATCTTTTTCTGTATCGTTGATACTGACTTTAATCTTGTTTTATAGTTGCTAGCCCATAGTATATTACCGTAATATAAATGTGGGTAAACAAGAGTATGATATAGAGTTATGAGATATTTTTTATTTAGGTAGTGACGAACTTTACAAAGAATGTTAGATACTTTTAATAATTTCTTAGTTATGTAACCAATATGACTTTTCGATGTTAAGTGTTCATCGATTATAATACCAAGGAATTTAGTTTCTTTAGCATTTTGTATAATTTTATCATTAATCTTAAAGGTTAGATTTGCATTATGTTTTTTCCTGAATGATTTGAATATAATGTAGTTAGTCTTTTTAATATTTAAGGTAAGCTGATTAACCTTAAGCCATGTTTGCACAAGTATAAGTTCATGATCTATTTCTATTTCAAGTTGTTTCAGGTCTTTTCCTGAACGAAATAAATTGATGTCATCTGCAAACAATATAAACGAAAGATTACTAGAGCAATGTATATCATTGATACATAAAAGAAAAAGTAATGGGCCCAAAACTGTTCCTTGAGGAACTCCACATTTGATCGTTTTTTCAGTTGAGTAAGTTACATTATATTTAACTATCTGTTTTCTGTCAGTCAAGTAGTTTGCAAACCAATCATTGCATATACCTCTAATTCCATAATGATGAAGTTTAGTCAATAAGATTTTATGATTTACGGTGTCAAATGTTTTAGAAAGATCTAAGAAGATACCAACAGTATATTCCCCGTTTTCTATTGCAGTAGATATTTTGTCAACTAGATCAATCATTGCGAGACTTGTTCAGTATTTATTCCGAAATCCGTATTGTTTGTCATAGAGGATATCATGTTTAGTGATGTAGGATGTTAATCGTTTAAACATTATTTTTTCTAGTATTTTTCCAAAACTTGGTAAGACTGAGATAGGTCTATAATTCGTAAATTTGGTTTTGTCACCAGTCTTATAAATGGGTGTAACTAGCGAAATTTTTAACTCACGAGGTATAATACCACATGTGAAGGATAGGTTGAAAACATGGCACAGTGGTATT